TGGATTTCCTTTTGAGTTAGGTGTGTTTCTTGTATACAGCATATTGCTGGATTTTGCTTCTTAATCCATTCTGTCAGTCTGTTTCTTTTGATTGGTTAAAGAGATAATTAAGAGTGGATTTAAACGAGGCTGGGATTTAGCTCAGTGGTGCCACGGCCTTCCTCCTAAGTGCAAGGTCCAGAGTTCGATCCCTGGTAGCAAAAAAAGAAGAGAATGACTTTATTATTAATAAAGACAAGAAGGGAAAAGTCACGTTGTAGTGTGTGAATGGAGATGTTGATGTTCATCTTCTCATCTGCTCTGTTTAGATGTCCCTGGTAGATTTGGGGAAGAAGCTTTTAGAAGCGGCGCGTGCAGGTCAAGACGATGAAGTCCGTATTTTGATGGCAAATGGAGCTCCTTTTACTACAGACTGGGTAAAGAATGACCGTCATGTTGTGGTTTCTTTTTTTTTTTTTCCCTTTTCATTTTTGAGTTTTTTCAGATAAAAATTTAGTTAGCACTATGTTTATAAATAATTTTATGAATTTGTTTTCTCTTTTAGAAGTATAACTCTTAAAATGAATGGTTCAGAACATTTTCTTATATTTGACAACCTTATCCAAATATTGTCCACAAAATTTTTTCTTTTAGACTTTATAGGATGGGATGACTATAAGATGGGATAGAATGAATATAAGATGTAGCTGCTTGGGGTTTAATGTAAAAGCCTTATAAATAGCACAGGTAGAATTTATAATTCAGAAAGTAACAGATAAAGATGAGAGTTACACTGTTAAAAAGAGAACGTGTTTTGCTTAATAGTTGTAAAACTGTTGTGCAATTGTTCAAGAGGAAGAAAGGAATGGGAATGAATTCTTGGTCACTGGAACACAGTTGTAAGAAGGAAAAACAACTAATTCCAGGGGCAAGTGAATGTGGAAAGTGAGGATTAACCCTCCCCCTGCTAACAGTTGAAACTTCCAGATTTTTAAATTCTTCTTCATTCATTTGTCTCTGTTCTTTTATTTTTTTTAATGTCAAATAAAACCATTTGGTTTTTTTTGATTATGGGAAGTTTCAAACATCAAGCCTTGCATACCCTTCAACCAACTTCAGAAGTCGTCAAATCATGATGAATCTTGTTTCTCCTGTAACTCCACTTCTTTTTTTGTGTTATTTTAAAGTACATTCCAGCAGCATTATTAATAATAACGAAACTGGAAACAACCCAGATGTTTATTGGTTGAATGGAATATTGTAGAGCTGAGAAAATTAGTGAATGGCATTGACAGTGATTAACATGAATCATTCTCATGAGCATAATGTTAAGCAGAAGAAAACCAATAGAAGTCACCAAGAAAACACAGGCAGTAGAATTCTCTTTAAAGAAGGTCCAGAGCCAGGTGTGGTGCCTGTGTCCCAGGATCAAGGAGGCTGAGGCAGGAGGATTGCTGAGAGTTTGAGACTAGCCTGAGATCCTGTCTCAAAGGTTCAAATGGGCCAGCCCAAAATATATCATTTGGGGATGTTAGTGATACACAGAAAAAGGAAGCAGTGCTTGTCACAGAAATCTGAGTAGTATTTACCCCTGGAGCCGAGGGAGGGGTTTATATTTAGGGAGTGACGTGTGAGGTAAGCTTTTAATTTCTTGGTAGTGTTTTATTTCTAGGCTGTAGTGACATTGTCACAGATAGTTGCCTTTTCTTTAAACTACATATTATGTGCAAGTGTATATATCAGAACAACCAGAGTGGACCCCAGTAGCACAGGAGAAAAACACCTGGTTGCTAAATGTACTGTTGAGTACTTGGTTAAAATTAGAACTTCAGTATAAGCTGGCCGTGGTGGGTAAGCCTGTTATTCCCAGCTGCTTGGCAGGCTGAGGCAGGACGATCACAAGTTTGAGGCCATCCTGGGCAGTATAGCAACACCCACCCTCTATCCAAAATAAAACAAAAAAATAACGAACAGGATTTAGCTCAGTGGTTCTGGCGCCTGCCTCATAAGCGCAAGGTCCCAAGTTCGATCCCCAGTACAAAAAAAAAACCAAAAAACCAGACTCAAAAAAATAACAAACAAAGACTTGAAGGGTGTAGAAAGGGCTAGCTATAGGGAAATAGGACCAAGTGTGGAGAAGAAGGAATGTTGAGAAATTTCTTTTGATCTGCTAGAATGGCTTTCCTTTAAAAGTATATATATAGTTTTTAATGGTATTAAGCATTCCCGAGGTCAGGGGTTTCAATTTTACTATGCCTGAGGAGTGCATGCCCAGCTTGGTGTTACAACCCCCTTGTGTGACTGGAGGCCGGTTAGTGGCTTTGTGCCTTGGCTCTCTGACTCTCAAGCCAGGGCTGCAGTACTGCTGTGCTCCGAAGAGGTGACGTGGGCTTAGCATGGGAAGTCCTTAGAGCAGTGTGTCCTGAGAGCAGAGTGCTGAGACGCTTGGCTGCCCCTGTCAGCATGCCAGTCTTGGCACATTTGGTGTTCCAGTGAAACACTTTTGCTCCTTGGAAGGTCAGGGACTTGGTGGTCAGAGATGGAGGCTTTTCTGCACCTCTAAGTACACATGGTAGCCAGCACCTGGCTCTGCGTACCCGGGTGCAGAGCCCTGCCTCTCTGTTAACAGCTCTTTCTTCCTCTGTGTGTCGTGGACATCCGCCTACTGGCTGGGCCCCACTGGACCAGTTTCAGAACTGAGCTGTCCTGGTTCTGTCCGGACACCCTGGCGATGCACTATAGTTTTCCCTTCAAAAACAACTCTGAACCCCTTTATAAAAGATCACAGGTTGTATTTTTAAAGTCCTGGAGGGCAGTTGCGATCCACTTAATGTAAAATGTACAGTTACATGTACTTTAGATGAATTTTGTAGGTGAAATAATAGCAAATTTTGTATGATCGTCATAAATAAAACATCCCAGTACTCAGAAAAATTTTTCAAGCCCTGATCATCTCTAATTCTTAATAAAATTAATTTTGCTTAATGAGAAATTAATTTTGGTAAAAATAATGAAGAAAATTCAAATTAGAGGAAGTATGGCTTTTCTTCCTCACCAAGTACAGTAATGGAAATTCTTGAGGGCTCCTGCAAAGAAGATAAAATAAGCTTCAAGCAAGCAATTTCTTCTGAGTTTCTAGTTACTTACTATATACTATGTAAAAAGAAACTATAAAAGAGACCACAGTGGTGGAAGGGGAAGGGTCTTAGGCGCGGCTGTAAATGAGCGTGTTGCTCCCTCCATGTGTTTCCTGTGTCAGCTGGGAACATCTCCACTGCACCTGGCAGCGCAGTATGGCCACTACTCCACCACAGAGGTGCTGCTCCGAGCCGGCGTGAGCAGGGATGCCAGAACCAAAGTGGACCGGACGCCCTTGCACATGGCGGCCTCCGAGGGCCACGCCAGCATCGTAGAGGTCTTGCTTAAGGTTCGTGTTCTCTGCTCAGACCCACTAAGACTTCATGGCTTTATAAGAAGAAGAGAGCTAGTTTTATTGAATGTCTACATCCAGTTTTATCTATGGTATCTCATTCTTTGGTGCATAAGCCAGCAGATTAAAATTGCTGCAGAGTTTTCTTTGGTGAGGGGAAAAGGCCTTCCTTGAGGAAGGAAAGACAGTCCGCTGGGTGAGGATCTCAGCTTTGTCCTAGAAATCCTCATGGAAGAAAACGTAAGACTTGGGTGATTGACAAATTAATGGGTGATATAAATGGGGATTTATCGTCAACCATCCAGATGCCAAAGGGATGGAGAGATTTCTGAAACAGTGATAGACACTGTTCTTGACCCTTTCTTCCTGACCTCTAGGTGAACCTGTGCCAAGGAAACACAGTGCAAGCCGCCAGTGCAAATCGCATGTAATTCTGGATATTCTTTAGCTACTCTGAAGAAGTAAAAATTAACTTTAATGTTATATTTACCCTAGTATATCCAAAACATTTTCATGTCGATATGAAAGCAATATAAATTATTGATGAGATAGCTCACATTCTATTTTTTTGTATTGTCTTTGAATTCCAGTGTTATACATACAGCACATCTTTATCTGCCTGGCTACATTCAAGTGCTTCATAGCCACATGTGTCTACTGGGTTTCAGGTTGAACAGTGTATCTTTTTTATGTTGTGCTGATTTTGAAAACAAAGGATATTTTTAGATAAATGAGAAATTAGGGGATCATCTCCCTTACAGCATTAGACAGTTTTGGAGGAGTGTTCATAGTTGTCTTTTACTTCTTACACCATTCTTAGTCACTGAAAAAAAAATTGCCAGAAGTTTAGTAATTGAAAAAAATTTTTTTCCTTATTTCAAGAAATTAAAAGGAAAGTAGTTGGGGAAATTAGCATGATAGAAAAATGATTTAGCAACAAGTGATAATTGCTGAAATGTATTTAACACACACAAAAGAGTTTATTGTGTTATTTGTTCTTGCTTTAAAGCATAGCAACTAGTATTTCCATGTCAGGAGTTCTTTATATTTCATGTATTAGCATTATGCAGTTATCTTATTTTAAAAAATATTTTTGTAGCATGGTGCTGACGTCAATGCAAAGGATATGTTAAAGATGACAGCTCTACATTGGGCCACAGAACACAATCATCAAGAAGTGGTGGAACTTTTAATCAAATATGGTGCTGATGTACACACGCAAAGTAAATTTTGTAAAACTGCATTTGATATTTCAATAGACAATGGAAATGAAGATTTAGCAGAGATATTACAGGTAACTTGGCTTTTAATTTAAGGAAACAAAGGAAGCTGTAAATAGACAGTTTTCTATTTCATAGATGATTTAAAGCTTATAGCTTTTCATTTTGGACTCAGTTATATTAGACAGTCCTTTATCTCTTCCACTTCCTCTTTATTACTGTTCATTTTCCTGATTCTAAGACCACAGTCTTCATGTAACAGATTAGATAAGGTGAGTATGTTCTCTGTTTTAAGTTTCTGAATTCCCTTTCGCGACATCTTTGTTTTTTTATTTTTGTTGCATATTTGGATACCATATGGGTTTTCAACGCATTATAAATTAGTTTATAAAAATAAAAAAAATTTTTTTTAGCGACCAAAATAAGGTCCTTTGAGTGAGTGATATAGTCATTGTCATTCTGATTTAGTTTTCATCAGCCCCTAAAAAATTTGTATGTGTGCATAGTTACTTGTGCTTGAACTAGCATTACTTATCTTTTCTTCAACTAGAGGACATTGATATAAATTATCTTACTGCCTCTTCTCGCCTATCTTTGTAGAACTCTCTTCTCTAAGATTATCTGACTTTATTGAATTTCCATGGGTTATGTATATTTTATGCTCAGGAAAATGAATTTTCCCATGCCCTTTCTTATTTTTTAATATGTAGGAGTGCAGTCTGAGGGTTGGAGTTGAGGATAGAGAGCAATTTTATTAGGGAGGCCGTGCTCTGTAGTGTTATATATTGCCAAAGGTAGCAGGGGAAATAATTTAAATAGTTTCTGTAGCTATAGAGCAGATTATCTTCCAGTGTTGAGCTTTTCTGTGATCTGTAAAAGCCTTTCAGATCCCCATTTCTTCTCTAACAGGGTTTTGCTGCTTCACTCAGCATGGCATCTTGGCTTATAAATTCATAACTATATTCTCCCACTGCATGCAGCCCATAAACTTATGTTTTCATTTGTATTGTGTGGTCCTTCTTAAAGACTGCTCCTTTCTGTGTTTATTTGTGCCACCTTGAGGATCTGCCACATGTTCTGGTTATAATTCTGAAAACCCTGTGGTGCTGTTGCCCTAGATTGCTATGCAGAACCAAATCAACACCAACCCAGAGAGCCCCGACACTGTGACGATACACGCCGCGACACCACAGTTCATCATCGGACCTGGAGGGGTGGTGAACCTAACAGGTCTGGTATCTTCAGAAAATTCATCCAAGGCAACAGGTATTGAGATGCATGTAGGATAGCTGTTGGGATTTGGTGCAGTAGTAGGAACTCCTCCTTTTAAGAAAGGACTTTTGGAGAATCAGGGTAAGATTCCATCAGCCACCTTGCTATCTTTCATATTGGCAAAATTCTTTCCAATGCGCTCTAAAGAAAGGTGATGCTACAAAGTGTACTGCACACTTTGGAAAAGTAATGCTATCCAGGCTTTGTTTAAGAGTTGAGTAAAGTAGAATACAACGTGAGAACTATGTATTGGATTAAGTTTGTTAAAAATTCCTGCTTTTTCTTTCCTTACAGATGAAACGGGTGTGTCTGCTGTCCAGTTTGGAAACTCCTCTACGTCAGTATTAGCTACATTAGCTGCCTTAGCTGAAGCTTCTGCTCCATTGTCCAATTCTTCAGAAACTCCAGGTTAGAAAAGCCAGTCGCATGTGTACAGTAAAAGCTGCCAATTCAGATACTTCAGTTACTTCGGAAGGCCTGGAAGTATCAGGAGAGGCTGGGCTTGCTTGGGCAGGGTTGAGGTTATGTCCAGCTGTAGGGTGGGGCGGGGCAGGGAGGGACGTCTGCTGCTGAGCTCCAGTGGGTTAAATAGACCCCTGCGGTTCACAGAAAATTGGTCTGTTTACCCAGTTTGTCCCATGTTTTACCAGTTTGTGATTTATTTAAATCCAGCATATACATCTATATGAAGTTACTGTCATTTTATAAATTGAATTTTTAGTAGCTGTGTTAGAATGATACAAAAATGTTGCCTTGCAGAACTAAGAAATAGTGTACAAAACCACTCCAAGGGTTACTTTTTAGATGATGACATACAATATTGGCGAATGGCAGCTTCAGACAAGCTTTGCTTTATACTGACCTGAACTGTTGCTGTAAATATTTTTAATTGGGAAATTTAAAGCCCAAGAAATATTTTTACTGTAGTTTAAGCCACTATGTTTGGGTCAATGCTTATAAGATAGTAAAGAATAGTTGTGATTTATTGATTTAATGTTTCTTTTAAAAAATTGATGAATAATAACAGTTTATTGAACACTTTGTGCTAGGCACTGTTGTAAATGTTTAGTCTCATTGAATCTTCTCTCTGATTGTTTGGTTTTTTTGTTTTTTTGGTACTGGGGATCGAATTTGGGACCTTGCACTTACAAGGCAGGCGCTCTATGATTGTTTTTTTAACTTAGGAGAAGAAAAAACTTTTTCTCTGTTCTCTTTTTCTAACTAATTGATAGCAGATATTACCCATTCCCCATCTTCTTCAGCATCATAATCAAAGCCTTCTCATAATCAAAGTCTTCAGATTTTTCTGAATTACTTTTGGCCATGCGCAGTGGGTGTCATCACGTTGATGGAATGCTTTTATAACTGACCCCTCGATATCTTCAGCACCTTTGCAACTGCAGAATTTATCAGAGAAAACTGGGTCCAAACCTGGGATGTGGCCTAGTGGTAGAGTGCATGCTCAGTGCACGGGAGGCTGTAGTTCAGTCCCCAGCACTATAGAAGAGAGGACAAAAAGAGAAACTGAGGTCACTGGTGGTTCCTATTTGGTTAAACTTGAACATTTTTTAAATTAAATTGCATGTACCTGAAAATTAAATAGCTTTGCTTGAAAGCCAGCTGACATTTAGATTTTTGGCTCAGTGAATTGGTCACACTAGCTTTTCTCACTTCTACTACCTTTAAAAATATTATGGTCCAGTTTGTGAGAATGAGTAATTTCAGCTGATTTTTACTGCGTGGGACTGATGCTGTTCTCTGAACACAGTAAGCTTGCATTCCAGTGCTGCACCAGAGTGGTGTCTTTAGGGTAGTGAGAGCTTGAGTGAAGTCGAAGCCGAGGCGAGCGTGCTGCTAGTGCGCCTGAGTGACAGCCCCATGGCATGTGTGATCAGGGGTACTGGAGTCTTCCTGCTGGGTGGGCCTGCCCCAGGTGACAGCTTTGCTTCTTGGCTGCCCAGTTTCTTTTCCTGTCAGTCGTCAGACTCATCCTGGTTTTAGTAATGTTTGACAGTACGCAATATTTTCAAGGGGATCTTAGGTTATGAGAAATGTATTACATGCACCTCCATTTTACGTAAGGTGAAACACGGGTTTGTGGAGGTGGAGCAGTTTTTTCTAGGTCCTGTGGCTGTTAATAGTACAGGGTTTGTGTTCACAGTTTACCTCCTGAGTTACGTGTGGGTAACCCCTGTGATACACTTCGCTGTGCGGTTTCTTCGGTTGATCTGTGGACTAGTCTCTCTTTGAATGTGTGTTGTTTGGTTTGTGATGGGAATAACTATTTGTATGTCCATCATTTTGTCTTCTAGAGGTGTCTAGGTTTTTCGAGTAGGCTGTTGCAGTAAGTGTTCTGCTGCCATCTTGGCATATTTAAGTGATTATAGATGAACATGTAGTGTGAGAACTGTTAGTACACCACTTGTTACTGTTCATATTCTGTCTTACCAGCGAAGTGATGTAATAAACATTGCAGCAGCACATGGCCATATTTAAGTAGAGACTGCTGGCTGCCTGGTCTTACAGATAGAGAGAAAGAGAAAGCCCTTGGGATCAGCTAGGGTGCTGTGCCATTTCACTGGGGAGTCTGGCTCCAAGTAATCTGGCTTTCATGATTTCAGCAGGACTGTTTTTGTCATACAAATCAAATTTTAATATTAGTCACGGAGAACCTCCTACAGTCTACTAAAATGCTCTTGTTGCAAAACCAAAGGATTGGGCCGGGGATTTAGCTCAGTGGCTCCACTGCCTGCTTCACAAGTTCAAGGTCCCAAGTTTGATCCCTGGTACCAAAAAAAAAAAACCAAAAACCAAAGGATACCTGTCTTCTCAGCTATGAGCAAATGTAACTGCGTGTGGTCAGGACCTGATGTTTAGAATGTCTCACTGGATTACGTTCTTGCTCAGAAAAAAGACATCACTTGGAGCTGGAGTGGGGGAGGCTGTGGTGGGGGAGGGTGTGAGGTGTGCTGCAAAGAATGGACAGAAGTGTGCACATAGGAGCTCACCCAAGTCATGCCTTGGAGGATGTCCTTTGTTTTCTAATGTTGGTTCAAAATGAAGAGACGGAATGTGGGCAGTGTCTGTTGGGAATTGAAGTTATGTTCTTCCTCCTGAGGAAAACCCCTGCCTTGAAGCACACTCTTCTAAAGGAGTCACATGCTCTTGTCTGTCTGCCAAAGTTCCCAGGTTCCTCTGGGTGGGCTGTGGGATCTTCCTGGAGGAGTAAGGAAAAATTAGGAAAAAGTTGGGGAAGAGCATTTTAGGGAGTGAAGCTTTTGAGGCGAAAAGCTTTTCAGGGAGCCCAGAACCCAGTGAGTGGGAGAGTAACCTAACCCAGGGTGGTTCAAGATAAGATTATACCAGACTTTTCAGATGATCACGGCCGAGCCTGGTGGTGCAGGCCTCTGATCCCAGCACTCTGGCAGGCTGAGGAAGGAAGATTGCAAGTTAGAGCCTAGACAGGGCAATTCAATGAGTTATTGGAACCCTGTCTTGAAATAAAAAATAGCCTGGAGATGTAGCTCTGTGCAAAGCCCCCGAGTTCAGTCAATCCCCAGTACCATAGTCAGTAAAATCATCGTTATGGTAGGTTTAGAAGAATGTTCTGGAAGGTATTTAGTTAGAACTCTGATACAACCAGGAACGAGATAAAATCGTAGCATGAATAAGGGTTTGGCAGAGAGCTAGTAAGAAGTGAATAGATTTGGGAATTATTTGGGATGTAGAATTAGAAGCTGTAATTGTTTAAGTTGTAAATCATCTGTCTGCAGTGTAGTTATCTGGTCCTTTAAAAAATAACCTTACGTGGCCGGGGATTTAGCTCAGTGGTTCCGCCGCCTGCCTTGCAAGCACAAGGACCTGAGTTCGATCCCTGGTACTAGAAAAATAAAAAAATAAAAATAACCTTACTTGAGACTTATTCTGTAGTTGTATCCTTATAGTCCTATTATCAGCTTTTCCTTGCTTAGCTTTATTCTTGTGTCCCAGTGGTCCGTGATCACTTTTGTTATCTTTAAGTCAGCTTCAGTTAGTTGCTAGTAAAGTGATATTTCAAAAGGTGTAATGTGGCTGGTAGCTGTTAAAGGTTCTTCTCAGCCTGGGATTTAGCTCAGTGGCAGGCAAGCGCAAGGTCCCCGGTGCCAGGGAAAAAGTTCCCACTTCTCTTCCTCCTAGTGAAGTTTGAACCAGGTACCTGTTGCACATTGTTTTTTAAAATAGGGTAGAAAAACAAAATTGGCTTTAAGGATAAATTACTGGGCCTCATAAGGTTGTTTTGGTTTTTAGTTTCAGGTTTCATTACAGGCATAATACCTTTTAAATATTTTTCCAATAAATTTTTTTTTAACTTTTCAGTTTTTTTTTTTTTTTTTTTTTGGGGAGCGAACTCAGGACCTTGTGCTCATGAGGCAGGCACCGTGCCACTGAGCTAAATCCCCGGCCCTGAGACTTTTCAGTCTTACCAAACTCAACTCAACTCTCCC